CCCTGCAGAAATTGACACTGTGGTATGGTGTTTTTTTGGGGGTTTTTTTGGCCAGGGTGGGGGAGGTGAAGGGGAAGAGAGTGGGGGTGGACATGGAATTTGCTTTTAAAAGGCTTTTATCCTGCCATTGAATATTTCATATTTTAAAAATACTGTGATTTGAACACAAACTGGCTTTCCAGAACAAGTTACCACCTTTAGTTGGAAATGCAAATGCATTTCCTTTGCGGGCTGGAGCTACTTTGCTTCATTTTAACCTATTTCTCCCCTCTTTGGACTCCAGGACAGTGGCTCTCTTTATATGCTATGTCCTGGAGGAAGGCTAGGTAAGACTGTGGAGGAAACACAATAGGAAAAGTTACTATACAAACAGCAGTAAGGTGATTCATCTAGCTGTGAATAGATTTGGCCAGTTAGCACTGTCATATTATCTGGCTTAACAGTGGAACAAAGTTGGCAAAATACAATTTTCTTGTTCTCACAGTAAGTTGAATTGAGAGATCTGAATCTGCCTGTGGCAATCTGAAAAGATGACATAGTCTTGGTTGGTTTAGCAAATAGCACTGGGTTCTGAAAACCCTGGGTAACACTTTTTGAATATTACTTAATAATTCTGCTGTCAGAGTTCAAGCCCCCATTAATAATAGATAGCAGCACATCAGTCTCAGTGCCTTTACTGTGTAACCCCCTGAAAAATACTACTACAATGCATGGTAAAATGTAAGTGTAAAAGAGTATTTTAGTAGAATTCTTTGCTGTGGTTTGTTTTAGGATAGATTTTAATCAACCTGTGCTCTTTCTTTACAGATGTGTTCAGCCTATCCGACTTAAGTGTTATTGGTCTCTCTGCTATACTGTTTGCACATGTCCATCCTTAAGTAGCTTGCATTTTTCTGCTTCCGAGCCTGCAGAGGTATGCATCAAGGCTGTGTGTAGTCTGTGGCAAGCTTTCCCTACATTCTGAAGAAAGCCCTTGGATGGCGTGGCACACCAATGCATCAGACTGGACCTTCAGTTAAATTAAGGAATTGAGGTTCTTAATGAATTCAGTGTGAAAATCATAATACCCAGAGTAGCCTGTATGTTACTGATTGTGATATGACATTCGTTTAATTGTAATTTTCAATGAGCTAGAGAATTTTCTGTCACCGCTGTGAAACTCCAGCACAGAAGGTGCAGGGGAAAAGCTGGAAATCTTAGCAACAGCGTGGGGGAACAGTGAGGGCTTTTGGCTGGGACAGCAGCGTGGGATTATGGGAGAAGCCCGTGTTTCTACTAAATTTATCGTAAATGAAATAGTTATGTTGACATTTACAATGTTGTCTTTAGGTTTTAAAGTAAATCACCTCTGAGATTGGTTCCAGGCTGCCTGCATACACAGGCAGACAATACAGCTTCAGTTTGCACTTTGCTCACATTTGGCTTTCTTCTGCAATGAGGAGGGCTGGAATATTTTCTTTTAAATGAAAGCTTAGATACTTTCTCAAAGGATACAGCCACAAACTGCACTGACCTGTGTTTACTTCTGCTCTGCTAAATCAGTGGCATATGCTTCATTGTAAAAATAAACTAGCATGTTATTATGGTAAGAGTGAAATCCAAAACTGTGACTGTACCGCTCATTGAGAAAAGAAACACCAATTGAATAGGATGTTTCACAAAATCTTTCATGGAGAAAATTCCCAAAGGTATCATGTCACCCCAGAGAACAGTGTTTGAGCACGCGCTGCATATTCTGCTTTCTGTTATGGCATAAAGGAATTGAAAGCTAGACACTGTAGAATTACACCCAGTCCCTTCCTGAAGTACAGTTCAATAAAATCTGTGTGAGGCAGCAGAGAGATGTTTTCTCAGAGGATCCTTAATACAAGCACTGCCCTCCATCCAACCATCCTTGTAAGCTGACTGCAAGTCACCATAGACTACCCCTCGACCGGTAGTTACTTGTGGAGGTGGAAGTGCTTTGACACTGTCAGAGTTATTAATCATTGTCTACCATGAAAATATATGTATCCACAAAGCGCATAAAAGTTTAATTTTAAGTAACCAGAACTAAAATAAATTAAGAGTGGGGCTCCTTCATTGTGACACACCTGCCATCCAAACAAAGAGAAAATATTCTAACCTTGCTACTGGCAAGGGGCTTAAGCCTGAAAAGTAAGTTGAGAATTGAGGGGGAAAAAAGAAAAAATCCTCAAGAAATGCAAACTTGTCAAACCGACAGATGGCATCTCTTGGCCTGTCAGATTGCAGCTATTTTTATAGTTCACAGTTTAGCCAGGAACTGTTGGAATGGAGAAGTCCACGTTGTCCACTGAGGGCTTGATCTTGCACCATTCATGTCAATGGGAGTTTTCTATTGACTTGAATGGGAGTAGGCTCAAGCCCATCCAGAGCATAACTGTGTCTTGCTTTCCTCTTTGTAGCAGCAAACAGAAGCATTCCTAGCACGTCACTCCACTAGTGAAAGTAGCACGGTTACCTTAGTTGAAAAATAAACTAGTTTTAGGCCTCCAAGGGTGTGGCTTTGCTACAGTAAGAAACCTGAGTATCTGCAGTGCAATTCAGCAGTCCCTTAGCCCAGGCCTGCTACAGGTTTTTAATTGCAGCATCGACATATCCTAAGGGGCTTGACTGCAGCACAGCCCCACTGAAGTCAGTGGAGCTATGCGGATATGCACTAGCTGCAGGCCTTGCTGCTTTACACATTTGTACTGCCTGCACTAATTTTGACTGTAATCTCTTTGGGGGACACTTTTCCTGTAGCATAGCACTATTAACTAAGTCACATTTTAGAAGACTCCTCATTTTTACTATTGCTCATTTGAAAGAGGGCATAGTCTCTGCATAGACACACAGCTTCATTAATAGCAGTAGGATAAAGAAAGACGAATTACAATTGACTCTGTGTTAAGTCAGTGCTTACAGCCCACGGAAGCATTGGTACTTGGAGGAAAGAGGCAGTCTGCTAATAGCAGAGGAGCAGATTTGTTCTCAATACACTGGAGGCTAATTAAGCCACAGTTCCCTAATGAGGGTGGCCTCTTGAAATTCAATGAATTCTGTGCAAGTCTCACCATGAACTCATAACTCCTCATGAAACTGAAAATCACTAATTCTCTTGCCTCAGTGTTCCAACAGCCGCAGTGCTTTGGCTCTCAGCAGCTTGCGAGTTTAGCGTTTTACTAGTTAGTTTATAAGGGATGGGGAAGTTACATTTCCACCATTCAGATAGGTTAAAAAACAATCAGCTGCTTGAGCCTGCTTCATGAAAAGGAAGTGGTAAATCCATTTAGTACATTGTGCCTGTAAAGACTAGCATGTTGCCTGCAAGGAGGACCCTTGCAGTCCTATGATTCCATGCCAGTGTTGAATGGATCTGAGAGTATTTGCTTAGGTAGCAAAATAGTGCCAGTTTGCCTTATTTTTATATCGCTAACAAAAAAAATCAATGACCACAAATGCAAAATATATCAACAGGTTAATTTTATTACCGTTCTCAGTAGAGTAGCTATGTGTACATATATATTTATCAAGTGAAATGAAGTGGGTGTTCCTAAGAATTGTGATGTGTTAATCTGTATATGGTGCTTATAATACCTTCCCTTCTGAATTCAAGTTACATCTGAAAGTCAAATTTTCTCATGAGTCCAGTAGATGTACAGTAGCTAGCTTCATGTAATTTTTGCATGGATGATAGTTATAAAAAGAAGTTTTACAATACCAGAACTATTCTTTTCCAGGTTAAAAAATTGAAGCGTCACTTAGCAATTGTTTTATGGTTACTAATGAGATCATGTTTCTCTGAGACTGGTGAGATTTAATTGAATTTTTGACATAACAGAGGCCTCAATTTGATTGTAAGCCCACTGGGGCAGTTTCATCTCTATATGGTTGTCAGTTATTTCTATGGCTAGAGAATTAGCCATATGTTCTACTAGTCTCTGGGCAAACAAGTAATCTAGCAAAGTGGCAGTCTGGCTAGTCAAGGCATTATTTGTTGCTAATTATTTCACAGTGCCATCAGTGTGCTATGCTGCTGCTCCTCACAGTACAGAACAAGTGACATTGTCCTTGCCCCAAGTCACTTACAAGCTTATATAAACTTGACACAACAAGGAGTAAAATAATGCGGTGGGGGGAGGGAGGGAGACAGACAGAGGCAACCCCTTAAGAATGTGGATAGCCCAGCCGGGGCTCATGGTTCATACATGGCATGGTCACGTAAGAAAAGGTTTTTTTAGGGCTGTCAAGCACTCCATAAGGCCATCTACAACATGTTCAAACCATGAAATCAGCAACAATGTATGTCTCCACTCCTGGCTGCAATATGAGAGCTATTTAGTATAGGGCTGGGTGATGTTGATTTTCAGTAGAATCCCTTAATTGCTTCCACAATTTTCTGTTGCCCTCTGAGGCTGGAATTTGTGAGGAACCTTCAGGAGCAAAATGATGCATGTATATCCCTATTTCGCCCTCTGTGGTACTCAACTATTTCAATAGCCAGACCATCCCAACTAATTCCTAACTCAACAGATTCAGAGACCTTTACTTCCCCATCCCAGCGACAGCCTCTATTCCTAAAGAATAGATGTTGGAGACCTCCAGCACTTCAAAAAGATATGAACACTAGGGTCATCTTCTTGTTAGAATGCCCACAGCAGGTTGGGTATTCCGTTGTAGCATCATTTCTCCATCACCAACTGGACACCTGTATTGGGTGAGGGAAAGCCAATGAGCTCCTGTTTGCTATATCAAGCTTTTAGATTTAAAACTACAGTATTCACTGGCCACGAGATGGAGCCTCCTGATGATTTGATGCTACAATTAAAGCTTGTCACAAGGCCTTCCCAATGCAAAAGTAGCCTCGAGACTGGAGGATATCAAAGCAGCCTAAATTGGAGGGCTCCACAAAGTCCACTCTCTTTGGCTACTTCAGTTGGGATGGTATTAGAGGTGGGTAAACGATGTAGCTAACCAATAAAAGAACCCCTCAAACATCTGTTTTTTGGTATTCCTGTTTAATTGTGCTGTAAAAAGCAACAATACCTGGATTTTATTCATTAAAATAAATCTCTTTCATTTTCAGAACCAGTACAGCTCAAGTATTTTTAAATTTAGATTTACTTACGGGAAATTGCTGAAAGCAAATACATTCATCACTGTCTATTCCCCACAGTAAGGAATCTATAATGTCACACCAATCTGTCACAATTGCTGATCCTACAGCATCAATAAAAACACTCATTGACATTCTAGCTCAGTAGCTAAAAAGTTATCAGCCCAGTACATCACATTTTTCACAAAAAGATGGGATAATTAACACTAAGACCAGCACAATATTTCTGTGTATAAAGCATTAAGTTAGCATAACCATTTCTAGCTGCTGTGATACATAAGAAACACATATATGACAGAACACAGAAAACTCTTTGGAGCATAAGGATGTCAGCATTTGATAACACAACAAAAGCCATTTAAATTAGAATCTACATGTCAGTGCCAGCAATGATGAGCAGCCAAACCAGTGAACTACATATATTTATAAATAAATTGCATATATAAATAAATGCACTGCTTCCACTGGGCACAAATCTTTGCAAAATAATATCTCCTGGTACAATGAGAAAATGCTAAAACTATCCTGGCGAAAATGCGTTTGTGCCTAAATTCTAGCTAAAAGCTCTTAATAGGGTGGAGGAAAACGTTAGGTGCAGGGACAGCCATAATCTCTAAACTATTTAATTAAAATTCCTTTATCTTCTCAATACATGTACCTGCCTTTTGGAAATGTTAGTGTTTGAGCAAAGTAAACCTGATTGATTTCAATTACATCAAAATAAATCACTGACATTTTTTCTGAGACAGCAGAGGATACATTTTCTTAGCAAACCAGAGAGCTATACATAGAAATCTGATCAGTTAACAAACAGAATGGGTCTCATAGTCTGGGACTAATCAGTACCCCCAGAGCCCAACCTGAGAAATTTGACTCCCATAGGATCAATTTGGTAGGTCTAAGAATACTATAGAAGAAGACATGGGATTTAGTTTGCCTGGTTTTATCCTCTGTAGGAGTGCAGCAGAGCCAGGGCCTTGTGCTCTCAACAGTGACCCATCTGGCCAAGAAGGGTTCAAAGGGAATCCCATCCAGTTTTTGGTTAAGGAGGAGGGTGGCTGTGACACAAGGCATGAAAGGAGAGGGTTAAAAAAGCATGAGGCCTTCGGGTGAATAACTGACTTGAGGCAAAAAACCAGCTTGAGAGCAGTAATATCAGATCTGGGGGGGGGGGGGGGGGGGAAGAGAGTGATGGATGCCAGGCAAGAATTTTTACCAATCAGATTTCAGAGGTTTAGGCTTTCAAACTACTACAAGACAGCATCTTTATTATGAGATAGGCCACTGCTTGTGCTGAATATCAAGTGCCTCCATTTGATTTCTCTTTCTTAGGGGAGGCGATGTGCATGGTGGCTAGAGCACTGGAGAGGGATGCAGGAGACAAGGGTTCCATACCTTGACTCTGCCACTGACTTGCTGGGTGACTTCTCCATGCTTCAGTTTCACCATCTGTAAAGTGGGCATCTGGAGATCTAGGGATGAATTATTATTACTGGCATATCTTTGAGATGTGTGCAGTTCCCACAAATGGTCTCATTTCCCATCCACTGTCTGAGTCTTGACTATCACCTACTTCCAACAAATGTGAAATGGATACTCCTACAGGAGATTTTTTTTTTTTTTAAAGGTGACTTCATTCATACTGTAGTGTCAGGAATCAGACATATTGTTGCATTGGGCAAGAAGCTGATGTAGTGTAAAGGTCCCCAAAATAGAACAAATATTTGGATTTAGATTTCTAACAACTGGCGTACGTAGGGCACAGACTACCATGTGAAGAGCGCAAATGCGACAGTTCACACACAAATGAACTGCTTGATTTGTGGTCCTGTTTCTGATTTCTTACCTGTTTTACACCAGTGTAACTTCAGAAGCTTCAACAAAATGATTTGAGGATTTATGCCAGCATAAGAAGAGAGTTAGACCCACAGTTTGGCATATCCACAACCTTGCTCATGCTTTGATTAGCTTTATGCTTCTTTAAGCTGTTTCACGCCATCAGTGTTTTTTATTGTGAGCCTAACTCATTTCAAACATTTGGTTTAGTATTTTGCCTTTCATACACTTACATCCCCCGAAAAGGTTTTTGGTGCAGTTGCAGCTAAAGACAAAACATAAGACTGAGATGAATTATTTTGCAGCCTACAAGTCCCCCCATGATACACGTATGCCTGTCAGGAACAAATGCATTCTGTGGAAGCACCTTGCTTTTCCCAACTAAGGGAAAAGCACTTCAGCAGCTGAATATGGAAGAGAGAGGCTAGACAAAGGGCATTTGAAAGAAACAGCTCAAAAAAACCATCAAACAAGTGATATTCCTCTATGCCATTTGGTCATCAAACCAACCTTAAAATAGATTCCCTGAAAAAATCATCTCTAAGAACAATTAGCTCAGACCATTGACAAATGTCACCAGTATATTATTTTGAGATTTATACTATGTAAACAACCGGTCAAGATGGCGCACGCCTTAATCCTAGCTACATGGGAGGCTGAAGCTGGTGGATCGCTTGAGCTCAGGGGTTCTGGGCTGCGGTGTGCTACGCTCATCGGGCGTCTGGTGCTACTGACAAACCTGGCCAACAGGTGGCTGAAGGACTGACCAGAACAATATGAACAATGCGTTGCGATCGGCACGCTCTCTGTGAGGGCTGATAGACCGATCGATGTAGGTGACAAGGTGATGATGTAAACAAGGTTGCATGGGAAATTATTTAGGGGGAAAAAAAGGTAAGTGCAGATCCTTGTTCAACACACCCATGCTAAATCTACACCAGCATCCTCAACTCCTGAAATCTAGCAAAACCACAGTGACACTTGCACATGGCAACAGCATGGTTCCACTTAACCACACTGTAAGAGATTTGTTTAAAAATGCAAATTCAGCAGAAAAATTCCTGACCACGGTTTGAAGATATACATAGAACACAAAAATAAATTAAGTAGTGCACAGTCAAGCCATAAACAGCTAATACTTCTTTTACATCGATTATACGCAACACAAGGTACTATTGCTCACATTACAGAGGGAGACTCTCGGGGGGGGCAGGGGGTTGTTTGGGGTTTGTTTGTTTTTTGGAGCGATTAGGTTTGTCTGCTGCGTATCATGAAGAAAACTCCTGTAACACTGAAATAAATGAAATATTCTGTAAAATATACACCACTGTCAGACAGAAATACACACGCTCTTCATACTCATTTTCCACAAAAGCATAGGTAAGTGAGTTGACTCTTGGGATCTAGCTGAAGATGGTTAGAGTAAGCCATCTAGATTTTTATGAACTGTTTGATTTTCCTTTCCATTGCTGGAATCCTCTGGAGGTGTGTACTGGATCTGGAATTCTTGAAGAATTTTAAATACATCATGGTGTCCAAAATGTAAAGCTTCATCCATAGGAGTGTTATTCCATCTGAAACAGGGAGCACAATATTTCCAAAATCAGTAAGCAAGTAAATCCACCACTATGAATTCCATTATACTTTGATGTTTGAGACAACAATTGCCCGTACAGTATCTACTAAGCTCAGAGAGTACGTAAGTACCTTCAGTGAATTGGACTGTGGGTCACAACCTTTTTTGACAACAGATGTTTTCACAACTTTTTACCCCTTCAGTATCAAAATAACTAATGGAGAATGAATGGGATTCCATTCCTTCTTGTGCTTCAGTATAATTGTTTAATAAAGTTCAGCTCAACCAGTCACATATCCGTGTAAGACCACTGTCTTCAGTGTGAATTCACAGGTGTCACCAAGGACAAAATCTGGCATGAAGAACTTTTATTACCAGGGATTCAGAGTCCAAGGTCAGAAGGGACCACTGTAACCTTCTATACAACACAGGCCATAAAACTTCCCCAACATAATTCCTAGATGATCTCTTCTAGAAAAACATCCAATCTTAATTTAAAAAATGGTCAGTGATGTAGAATCCACCATGACCATTGGTAATACATAAAGGAAGAACCCAACTTGATCTTCAGCCCACAGGCTGATTGTGCACAGTTAGTCACTGGAAACAAAATCTTTTTACTTGAAAGTGTGAAAACTGAACACATTTGATATGGAAATCACTAAAAGACGATAAAAACTGATTTTTTTCAGTCATTTTTCACATCAGAACTGCACTTTAATGGATAGCATCAGACTAAACAAAACATAGCTAAACACACATACAAGCGTAACTGCTGCTATTTTCACATCATCCACACTAAACCCTCTCAAATGTAACAACAATATGCAAAGGCTATTGCATACAATTGTATATTTTCCCCTCTTAAACAGGAGAGTAAGAGATATCGAAATACAGTATTTCAACAAAGCCAATGTAAAGTATTTATTTTTTGCCTTCCTTTCACCAAGTAAATCAACCCCAGAAACGTGCCTCAGATTATTGGTACTGAAGTGTTTTCCTAGTGTTGATCTTTGACGCCCTTTTAGTACAGGACAAACTCTTCCCCTGAGGGGTTTCAATGGAAAAGCTGGTAGTTAGAGCAGGTGTAAACACAATGCAGATTTCCCACCAACCTTGGTTACATTTTAATTGTGGTGTATGAACTCTGTAGCACCGTGAGTTCCTTTTGAAAAGGACAGTATCAAAAAGTAAAAATCTCACCTTAACAGGAAAGCTTCAAAAAATCACAGGTAACGATAAACGACTCAAAACGCTCTGCCTTTCTGACACTCCTATAAGTGCCGTAAGGAGGACATTGTGCACATAATACAAGACATTAGCAGACTTATATTAGTCTGTACAGCATCGCATGAAATAAACTATCAAATTAAAGCTAATTCTATGCTTTACTGTTAAATAGCAAAATCACTGTTCTGCGGAGGGAAGCATTGAAAGGTACACGCACACTGAAGGAAGCAGAGACAACGACACAAATGTACTTGATTAAGAGAGCTAGAGAGAGTGGGCGAGCGTGGTTTCATTACTGATGTCGGGCCTTGTTTTCTTTTGGTGAGGGACCTTGCACTGACCTATTTTTTTCTGGTTTCCAATGCCACACTGTGAGTTACAATAATAAAACTGGAGGTGAAATTAAAAACAAAGTTAATGATTATACATAACAAACCATGTGAACTGCACCTCTCTCAGGACACCAGAACAGTAAAACAGCCTTTTTTAATGGGGTCAAGTTCACACTGAAGTTTGTGAATAGTTTTAGTTACTTTGGACAGGAACACACAGAGACCCCTCTTACACCCACATCCGCGTGCGTGTTCTGCATGTATGTTCACACACACACATCAAACTACAAATTCCTTTTTCTTGCTTTGATGCCTATTTTGAAAGAAAATTCTCTAGCCGGTGATTTATTGTCTCAGTCTTCCCTACTGAGGTCTGGAATTCCTGCTTCTGTAAGGGAGGAATTAGTGTTGCTAGATCAAATGAGCAGAAACAGCTCCAGGGAGCTCTAGCACCACCTGCAAGTTAGCTGGGTAGATCAGATGGTCCCAATTGTCACTAGTTTCAGCATCCCATGAGATTTCAGAGGAAACAAGGACTCCGGTCAATTGACCGCACTAGAGTTGGATTCACCAATCTAATTAGTTACTGGAGCTCCCCTCCTTCATACAACAGTGCAACTACTCACCTGTCTTTGGGGAAAGGATTCACTTTGCAGGCTTCCAGCAAAAATTTAATTACTTCCACATGACCTATAAAATAAAAGAAGGATTTAATATACTTTTTAAATTAAGCCCACTAAATTAATAGATAATATTTTATTTGTCAAGAGTCATTACCTTCTGCAGCTGCTACGTGCAATGCTGTTCGTGAATCATAATCTCTTTGCTCCATATCCATACCCGACAAAGCAAATCTGAAAAGCCAAATTCAGAAAGACAATCTTAGAAAGAATTACAAAAATACAGAAGTGATCATACTTCTACTGTAAAACAATGAAATGCCCTCTGACAGGATTTAAGTGGTATCTGTGACACTGTACCCCATATTGTTCATAGTGATGTTATGATAGGATTATGACAGTTATGTATTTTATGCAAGATAGATCAGTGAGGTGTCTTTGGAAAGGTTATGATCTGCTGAATATGATTATCATACTTGTATGCACGTATCATTTTTGTATCTGAAGTTAGGAATATTGACTATGTACCTGTACGTATTGACTATGTATCTGTGGCAATTCTTCAACAAAAAAATCTTCAAAAACAGACTTCAACAAGAAACTGTAGAATTGGAATTAATTTGCAAACTGGACACCATCAAATTAGGCCTGAATAAAGACTGGGAGTGGCTGGGTCACTACAAAAAAGTAATTTTCCCTCTGCTGAATGAGCTACGTCCACCTTGATTGCATTGGCCTCGTTAGCACTACAAAAGTACTTTTCCCTCTCTTGATATTCACCCCTTCTTGCCAATTGTTGAGAATAGGCATCTTCCACCTTAACTGAATTGGCCTCATTAGCACTGACCGCCACTTGGTAAGGCAACTCCCATCTTTTCATGTGCTGTAATATTTATACTGCTTACTGTATTTTTCACTCCATGCATCTGATGAAGTGGATTTTAGCCCACGAAAGCTTATGCCAAATAAATTTGTTAGTCTCTAAGGTGCCACAAGGACTCCTTGTTGTTTTTGCTGATACAGACTAACACGGCTACCACTCTGAAACCTGTATTACAAATGTGTTTACACCTGCGGAATACCCACTAGACAAGATGCTTTCATTCTAAAAAGTTGGGTGGGGAAGGGCCATTAGAGAAAACAATAGGCATTAGAAGATGCTTATCTCCCACCTGGGGGCCTTCCTGAGGATGCTGCACACTGCCTCTGAGTCATGGCTGCTGTGACACTACAGCGACATGTCACCAGGTCACCTGGTGCTGGATTCCATCTTGGGATGTCAATATACTTCCACGACTGGTGTGGGAACTAAGCTTGGAAACAAAGGGTTTCTGCCATATGCAAAAGCTATATAAGGCAAGGGAGTAACATTATCTTGGTTCTTCACTGACTCCCCACCCAAAGAGACTCCTAGAAACACCTAAGGAACAAATATTGAACTGAGGGAACTGCTGGACTTTTAGCCTGTGAATGGAATACCTGGGGATTCCAAGCTGTAAGCAAGTGCAGCTTGCCCTTTAAGAATCTGCAGCCTGCTTGTATCATCACTTAGATCAGATATGAATACCAAATTCTCATCCTATGTAGTACATATTACCTACAAATAAAAAATGCAAACTAAGCTTAATCTGCTTTGATCTGTTTGCTAGCCCTTATAATCACTTAAAATCTATCTTTTATAGTTAATAAACTGGTTTCTGATTTATCTAAAACCAGTATGTGGAAGTCAGAACTTGGGGCAGAAAGCTGTTGTATATTCCTCTCTACATTGAGGAACGGGGCCAATTTCATAAGCTTACCCTGTGCAGTCCCTGTGCAATGCAAGATGGTATAGTTTTGGGTTTACACCCCAAAGGGGGTGCGTGCCTGAGTAGCTGGGAAGCTCCCTAGTTGGAGTCAAACCATGCAAGGCTGAGCACAGCGTCTGCATGCAACTGCAGCTGGGTGTTTCCCTACCTGTATGTGTGCTGGTGGAAGTGCAGTCTGGTCACAGCAGTACAGTGTAAAGGGAGCCCAGGCTGGTGGGTCAGGGGCTCAGTGGTACCCCAGGTCCAGATGGCACCCCCGGGGGGAACCCGTCACAGTACCAAAAGTACATTATATTTTCATCTGAGATTTAATAAAAGAGGCACCAAAGTGACCTGGCTTTAAGATTAGACTAGAGATTTGGCTTCCTTCCTGGCATCTTCATCTGTGGTTCCAGTCAGAAAAATCACTCTTAAAATGCCACTATGGAGCATACTTATGTGCATACATACTTCTCTCAGTCCAGCCAAAACCCTAGTTCCAGGCAGATTCTCTGACTGGTTAAGATCACTTTGGGATGTGAAGTACAAACAGAACTTACATCAGCTGGAGAAATGTCATGGAAAATTCCCCGTGTCGGAAGAATCTCTAACCAGTATAAAGCTACTACAGCAGTCCCACTGCTAGCTTTGTCCCAGCTTCGCAAAGGTACAGTGAAGAATTAAGCCTTCCACATTTATCTGCTCTCTCAGTGACTGTGTGTGAAATCTGCTTAGTGTAAAATGCAAAAGGATTTTTAAATACTGCCAGCCCTACAAAAAACAAACAAAACAAAACAAAAACCATACGTGGGATCTGAAAATCAAGCTGGGTTCCATCTGGCTCCTACCTCACTAGCAATAAACATTCCTCAATTTGAGCTTTGCTCACAGTTCTGGAATTGATTCACAAGGCAGACTAGAATCCAGCTTGCTCTTCCATTGCTGTAAAAATTTGTGAGGAAGATAACATGACTGAGACACAAACTGATTTTTCCATTTATATCAAAGCAGCGTGGTGCCATTTTGTATGGTTATACCTCTGACTATAACCTGATGTACACATTATTTTTCATATTATCCACATGAAGTTTTGATATGCAGAACAAAGGACTGATTGTGTAATAAGCTTAACTCCTTGTTCTGTTGGGATCTGAAGACTAGACATTAAAAGCAGTGCTAGATCCAATAGAGCACATTCTTTTAACATCTCGTGTGTTTAAATGGCCCTGCTATCTTGGCGTATTAAAGCAGCTCTAACGTCTCCCAACATGGTCATGTGTTCAGAAACAAAGTATAATAGTAGTCGAAACAAGTGATGTCCTTTCCCCAACACCATATTGGTTTTACCTTCGGAGTGCAGATACATCCCCAGTGTAGGCAGCAAACAAGAGATTTATCACAGACTTCACCTGCGAAGTGGGAAGGAAAAAAGTTTTTTTTTTCTCTTGAGGTGACTTGTGGGAAGAAAGCTAAGATATAGTAGGGTCACTGTTGGCAAACATGTCAACTATGTAACAATTTCTCTAGGTACATTTGCATTACAATCTAAAAACGTTGTCAGATCGAATTCCAAACAGCTTCACCACAGGTAATTTATTGGTCCAACTCTGAATGCATAGAAACACTAGAAAGTAGAACATCACCAATTTGTATTTTACTATGACAAAAATCTCGAAATATTTTCCTTTGTTGGCCAAATTGTATTTCTCTTTTAAATGTAACACTATATACTACTCACTCTCTAACCCACTGCATGATTTGCATAATTCATCATGACTGATCGTTTACGCTGAATAGAGACTTGAAGAGTAGGGGATGTTACCAGTCAGCACGACGGGTTCCAAGGAAAAGCTATCTGAGGACATCTGCATACAGCACCTGTTTCAATACACTGTTGTTGCTCATACTTTCCATCACTTTAGCTGATATACTATGGAGGCTTTTTACAGACTACATCCCAGAATGCTTCACAGTGTTAAATAATAAAAAGAAAAACTAATAAGCATAAGCAAGACAGAAAAGGCACATTTCAAAAAGGCTGCTCTAGATAATAAGGGCCAAATACACATTTCACACAGTTAGTTTCATCAGCATTTATGGCCAGGTAGAGATACCAAGTCTTATCCTTTTACAATGAGATTTGCAACATTGCACTGCCCTCCAACACCAAGGTTCCCAAGCTTAAACTCTTCCACTCAGTTTGGTTTGAGCTCTGCCTCCTTTATAGACTATCATTGTAACAGACCAATACAGAATCACCATTCTTCTTGGTGCACCAGAAAGGAAGGAATTCTCTACACACGCCCACCCAAACCTCTCCACCTGTTCCCCGAACAGCGTGGACGTGGTCCTGGGGCACTGGGAGCAGGTTAAGGGGTGCTGTGTCATCATCTGTGCCTTTCATAAGCCAGAATCGAGGAATCATTTCACATTACCAAGTACCAAATAAAGGTATTTGTTATAAAGCAGCACAGTAACCTATATGGAAAAAAGAGAAGGGCATAAACAAGTCACATCTTTACAGCATACGCTGTGACCTCAAAACCTGTAACACAAAGACGAAGGCAGGCACAGCCACTGTCTTTAGTCCAGCAGTATATGAACACTAGTGGGGTTACCTTGAATCAATATTAGCAGACTCACTGGCGTACTGTCCTCCTGCCTTGCCCCCTTGTGTGGACACTGACACAAGGTCTCTGGGCTTTAGCACTCTGACAACTTTCTTGGGCTACCCTGGAGTCATAGGTGCACTGGGTCAAGTCACCTGTTGCCCTTTTGTGAAGAAAATGACAAAATCCAAAGTCTATTAACTTAGGGCCTAGACTTACAAGGTGCTGAGGGTCTGTGACTCCCAATGACTTCAGTGGGAGGTGAGGACACCTGCCAATTTGCAGGGTGGGCCCCAAGAACGCGTTCTTGTTATCATTCGTTTCATGCTCTCTGCTATTAGCCAAGCTACTTGCTATATTTTGTTGTTCTTGTGGTGTGCTTGACTGCAACTGTCACGCACAGATAGACCTGTATCATTAACATGGTCAGGCAGGGCAAAGCATGGCAAGTTACTCTGGAGCTCAAGCTGGTTACTTATGTTTACTTGGCTACCACGATAAAAAATAATGTCAGACTGTCACTCCAGGAGTTTTAAAACCTCCCCTTTTTCTCCAAGAGATCAATTAAATAGAGGGGAAAGGCTGCATATGCTGTCAAGTTACTCCTGGGTTTCAGTCCACTATTTATTATATACAGCTTACAGAAAAGGTTTTGTAATTAATTAACTGCCTCATTGCAATGTAGTATACCCATTTTCTAGTCTATATGCTGTTTTGGTTTTTTTCTTTTAGCACACGCACAAACAATGCCAGACTGAGAGGAAAGACTGTCCAATAGTTAGAGCACTAGCCAAAGACTTGGGAGGTCTGGGTTTAATTCTTTGCTGCCTGAGACTTCCTGGGTGACATGGGGCAAGTCACTGAACCTCTCTTTGCCTCAGTTCTCCATCTGTAAAATGGGGAGACTAGCCCTGCTCTGCCTCACAGGGGTGTTGAGAATAAAGACATTCAGGATTGTAAGGTGCCTTACAATACTGTGGAGATGTGAGTACTTAAGACAGGTAGATTGAAGTAATCTATTTATCAGGAGAAACAGCAGCAACTTCCTCACACTATCCCGCTAATGTGTCCCTGCCTTGTTATTGGAGGGGTCGCTCCCCCGAATGAAAATGTAGTTCAACTTCCATGACCATTCAATTCCTGACCTCTTTACTGAGACGACCAATGAAAGTGCCAAACAGCGTGATGGTTCTAGCTTTGTGATGTGGACATGTACTCTGCGGGTTATGCCGAGACCACCAAACTCATTTCAGATAAGCTACTGGACAGCTACTAGATGGTAACATGGCCACTACTGACATGAGCTGGAGCTATACAGTTCTGTACCCCATTACTGACCCCTTTAAGTACAGTTGATGACACTGTACTTTTCCAGGTATCTGTCTGAAGTCTGTGTTTAGAAATATAGGCAACAAATGGAAATTAGCTTAACTACCTTTTAATTTTATCTGAATGCAATTCAGGAAGTGGCTCTCCCCAGAGATGAGTCAAAACTGCTACACTGCTTGCAAGAACCCCCCACCTACTCTTTAGGTTGCTGACAGTATAAAATTTAAGAATTATGGGCTCAAAACTGTGAGCTGCTGAGCACCCTCAATTCCCAATTCAGCATGAGTTGAGGGCATTCTGCACCTTGTAATATAGGTGCAGAGAAAATTAAACTCTTGATTTGAGCTAGGCTAATTTGCATTTCCCAGAAGTATTTTTAAGGTCCTCTTTAAACAGTTTTCCTCCTCCTGCTTTGCTATTAAACTGGAAAATCCAGAACGTAACTTTCTAAGCAAAGATGAAGCCAAAGGATTGTGAGTGGCTACAGATCCAGTTAAAAACTTTGTATTCATAAGTTATTTATTTTCCTGCATTTCTGTGAGCAACAGATAATTTTGACTCTACATCTTCTAAAAGTCTTGACCATACTATATCAATTTAGGAGAAAACATTCTGTACATAAGACAAAGCAATGAGAGGTCTGAGATACAGGCACAACAGTGGTCTCATGCTCACAAGTCTTTTACTGAATTCAGCCTTCAGTAAATCACCCACATCACTAAACAAAATCTACGCCACTCCCCACTACTGTACGCAATGTTGGTGGGGACGCAGATATTTGGCCTCCTTCTACAAACCTTTGCAGAAGACATTCCTTACCCTTCTCTCTGGAGTTTCTGGGCTCTGTAGGAGAGAGAGGCTCCTTCCTTTTCTGAGTGCTTGTCAGCATCTCTCACCCCTACGTCTCACCATGAGTGTGTGACTCACAAAACAAGAGTAAGGGAGTGGACTTTTCCATGGGAATTATTCAAAAGGTAGCAGCTGAAAACCACACATATGGGCATATAAATGGATCCAACTACTAAACCTCAAGGAACACCGAAAATCCTCTCAACAAATACCAGACATTGCTTGAATTCCACATGAGACTTTCCACAGCCCTTTCAGAAGGTTCCAGAAAGGAACAGTTTCTGTGAATTTTGGTTATATCCAAATATTGTAATAATCTAACTAATGTTAACACACCACATATCAGTCTGATAAACGCAATTAAATTCAGCAAAAATGTATTGTGAAAAGTAACTAAAAAGAGCCAGATGTTGGAGGATTTGTATTTATGGAAGTTAACTCAGAAGATATCAAAGCAGTTTTGTATTCTAAAAATTAAAAATGAACAGCCGGCACTCTCTGAAATTGTTAGCCTGAAACAATGGCATCTACTGCAAAAGTGAAAACTTTGATATAGAAGGTAGCCAAATAGTTTACGTTGTTCTTGGGAGCAGGCAAGGAAATATGAGGAGCAAGATTGTGTTGCAACACAAAATAAATGAGAGCAAAAACTCCAGTATGTTGTGGGAGATAAGTAGAATGGGTTCATAAACTGATAGTCAACTGCTTAGGGAAACATTTTATGCCAGTGAAACCAGCCAATCTGATTAGAAGCAATCGCCACCACTCTAGCCACACAAACAATAAGGAATGGTATATGTCTGATGTTCAGAAGTTGACTGTTTATGCTACTCAAATTGGTAGAAACATTTTTCTCTTCATCTTCAAAAACAAGAATAGGAAATTCACCTTATGCCTGATCCAAGCCGACTGAAGTCTAGGCGAGTCTTTCCACCAACTGCAGTAGGCTTTGGAGCAAGCCCCTACTATATACTCTCTGTAGCCAAGGAGATTTAAGCAGCTGAAGGACAAGTAGAAGGGAGTGATCGTTAAATGTATGTTTTGGATTAAATACCAGCACACGGCTCCGGTGCAGAATCCAAAATGGAACAGTTATATCTTATAGTGGACCAACTTCTGTTTGTGAAAAACAGAAAAAAGTTAGTCCAATAAAAGATATTACCTTACCCAGCTTGTCTCTCTAAAATCCTGGGACCAACATGGCTACAACAACACTACAGACTGTTACATTTAACATTCTAACGTGAGTTCTGACACACAGTACGTGATGAGAAATGTAAAGTAAACTGGCTCTTAGTGCTTGCATCGATTTCCTTTCAGAGTGCTGGAAAACAAAATATGGGTATTAAGCCGCTGCTGCTGCCAACTCAGGTTTGTACCAACTTAGTTTTTCTGATTTTATTTTTGTATTCTAATTCTGACATGAATTAAGGGGGTTTGTTACCGTTTTTTTGGGAGGGGGGAGTCTGTCAGAGGAAGTTCCAGGCAGAAAATATGAACTATCCTGTGCTCCAAAAATCAGCTAAAAGTGGCCAACATGAAAAAATATTCTGGCCATAGTTAACACCGGCTTTTCAAAAGTGTTATGCTGTTGGATGTATTATTGTAAAAACTCTTTGCCA